GAATGGAGGAGAAGGGATTGCGGCGTGGCCATCCCCCCTGGGGGGTGATTTCTCGCTTTCTGTCTCTCTGTCTCTCTCTTTCTGGCGAGCACTCGTGCCCTATTGCAAAAACCTCTCAAAAAAAAAAAAAAAAAGAAGAAATAAAAATCAACTGGTACAGGGGAAGTGGACTCTCTCCAAAGCTGCCTCTTGTTTCTGGGGAGGGGAGCTGCCCTGAGGGTGGACCATGGTGCCAGGAAGGCTCACCTGGGCCCGCGATGCTTAGAGGAAAGAAATACATCCAGGGTGTGACCAAAGGCCACGGCCTCCCTGGGTCCCATCAGTCTACCATCCCTCCCCTCCCTGCTCCAGGCCGGCCTCCTGCTTCTAACAGCTGGTCCCCAGCTGTGCACTCCGAGGCCTAAACAGGCCCTCAGTGTTTTGTCCCTCTGGTCCTCTGGCCATGTCCCCGTTTTATAGCCCGGAGCCTGTGCCTGCTCTGTGTGTTCCAGTGGTTCCAAATTGCCATCAGAAATGATAAACCCAGTGTAATTGCTGATCCCCGCCTGCCCTTGTCTCCCACCCCACCCCACTCGTTCTCTGCTCTCAGCCCAGAGAATTCACCTCATTTATTTATCTATAGAGAGTTTGCTCTACGACACGTGCGCTTGCCAGAGAGAGAGAGACAGTGAGAGGGAAAGCGAGAGATCATCCCCCAGGGGAGATGGTCACACAGCAATCCCTTCTCCCCCACTCTCCTCCCGGGCGTTTGCGCACATGTGCCCAACCTGAGTTTCAAGCCTCCAGGTCCAGGACTCGAACTGCGGTCAGCTATGTCAGAGTCCAGCAACGTAACCATGACGCCATCTGCTGGACCCTATTTCTTTTGGGATTTTTTCTTTTCTTCTTTTCTTCCATGAAAGAGAGAGCGATTGTGTGTCCCCAGTGAGGTCTTCACTCTGTGATCCACGGCCACCTTCAGTCAGCTCGGATCACAGGCATGCCTGTGGGTTTGGATCACACAGGGAGGCCTCAGGACGTGAACCTGGGACCTTCCCACGTGGACTCACAGTATTGTGGAGCACTGGGTTACTTCGTTTTGAGAAAGTGCTTTCATCCTACTTCATTCTTCAGAGACAAACTTTTAGTCCTTCTGCTTATTTCAAAACCAGCACACACACACACACACACAAAGAATTAGTATTTAAACTTAAGTTACAGGGCCAGCCAGGTGGCATGGTGGTTTAAGGCAGCTGGATCCCACAGGACCTACTGCGCAGTTCCAATCCCAGACCCGGCGGCTTGAAAAACACACCGAGCATGTGCGTGCGCAAAATCCCCAGAGGAGAAGGGAGGAGAGGGGATTGCAGTGTAGCCTTCTACCCTGGGGGGTGCTTACTCACTTCTCTCTCTCTCTCTTTCTCTTTCTCTTTGTCTCTGGTCTGCATACGGGCCCTATAACAAATTTATTTTTTTATTTTTGGAGAGGTTTTTTTTTTTTGCTATAGGTTGCCTGTGCTCGCCAGAAAGACAGAGAGAGGCAGAGAGATGGAAAGCGAGAAATCACCCCCTAGAGGAGTGGCCCCACCGCAATCCCTTCTCCTCCATTCTCCTCTCAGGATCTTGGGCACGCATGCACACGCGCCCGGTGTGAATTTAAGTCACCAGGTCCGGGACTTGAACCGTGGTCGGCTACATGGGAGTCCAGCGACATAGCCATTACAGCACCTGCTGGTCCCCTATAGCAAATTTAAAATGGAATGATTTAATTAAATTTAAGTTACATACAAAGTTACTAAAATTTACTAAGGGTGCTTATTAGGGATTATAATCCTGGATATTAATCAATCAAGTCTTCAGCTTTGGACCTTTTACTTAAATTTCAAACTGCCCTACAGAGTAATGGAGAGTTAGAACACAGTTTCCCAGACCAGCATAATGGTTACATTGCTGGACTCCCATGTAGTCGACTGCTGTTCGAGTCCCGGACCCGGTAGCTTCAAATCACGCCAGGCGCGTGTGTGTGCGTGCCCAAGATCCCAAGAGGAGGGACCAGCTGTTGGCATAATGGCTATGTTGCTGGACTCTCATGTAGTTAGTTGATCACAGTTCGCGTCCCAAATCCGGTGGCTTAAAACTCACGCCGGGCGCGTGTGCATGCGTGCCCAAGATCCCAAGAGGAGAATGGAGGAGAAGGGATTGTGGTGTGGCCATTCCCCTGGGGGGTGATTTCTCCCTTCTGTCTCTCTGTCTCTGTCTCTCCAGTGAGCATAGGTGCCCTGTAGCAAAAATCTCTCTCCCTAAAACACACACACACACACAGAGTTACCACAGACCGTGGGACTCCTTACATTTTTTTACATCTCCCCCTTTCTATCATCACAGAGGTGAATATGCTCTGGCCGAATACACAGAAGTCAAAACGGTCACCATCAAACTAGAGGACAAGAACCCCTGAAGAAAAGGCGGGCTCCTTCCTCCAAATCTGGACAGCAGAATGTGGCCCGATGGAACTTGCCAGCGAGAAAAATCAACCCTTTTGACCTTCCTGGGACACCTTCTTCGGGAGACTTTAGCCATACTGGAGCCGATCGATTTGATTTTCTGCCCGCGCTCACGTTCTATTGACCAACGGTGGACGCCATGGGTTGTGTGCGATACCACAGTTCTGCCTGCAGGGGGCGCTCTCGGCCCTTCTTGTTTTTCATTTCCGATCAGGGTCTGCGAGTCAGTGAAGATCCCCCGGGTGTGTGTGTCGTTAACAGGAAGTGGGGTTCCAAGTATCTGGCAACTGCTTAACATGCTTTGCTGAATCCGAGGCCAATAAGCATTTGGGAAAAAAAAAACGAAACCAAAAAAAGCTCCATGCGTGTTCTCCAAGCAGAACCCCACCCCTGTGGTCTTTGGGGGGTTAGGGCCTAGGGGACAAACGCCCCCTCTTTCCAAGGTAGGGTTGGAACCCCATGGTAGGAAAGGTTTAGCAGGATATTTAAAAGCTTAAAAAAAAAAAAAAAGAAAGAAAGAAAGGCTTTCAAAGATCTGTTGTGGGGAGCTTGGGGGAGTTCAGACCTTGGAAGGGGAACAAGAGGCCTTAGGTCAGCCCCGGTGTCTTCAAAGACTGCATATTGAGGTGGAAGAGTAATCCTGCCTTTGGAATACGACCAAATCAACAGCCAAAGAGCTTCCTTAAAAGAGCGTTAAGGCCTGCCCTCCCCATAGCACTTTCAAAACATGGTTAACGTCACCTCTATGGCGGGGGGGGACCGCGTGTTGACCCCGGACACCAACGCG